GAGAGGAAGGGAGTGGGAGAGAGAGATAGAAATGTCAGAGGTTGGAGCCCACAGCTGGGCATGAACTGTGGGAATCGAACTGTGACCTCCTGGTTCATAAGTCAATGCTGAACCAGTTGGCCATGCCAGCCAGGCTCTTGCTCATCATTTAAGGACAAGACACCTCAGTGGCATCTAAGGTTGTTTATTAATAACCTTAGATCATTTATTAGTATTATTAAGTAAAGTTCCTTGATACATTTGCTAATTTACAAGATAATTTCTAGAATTCTATATTATTCTAAGAAAGGTAATCAGTAAGACACTTTCTAGCATTCTATATCCTCCTAAGATAGGTTATTAACATAGAAATATGTAAACCATCTTTTCTTAGAAAGTTGCACCAACTCAGAAATCTGTCAGTGGACTAAACTTCCTGGACTGACATGAAGATGACTTCGGAAGTGTTATGGATGACTAGGAAATTTAGAATACCCAGGGATGTCAATAGCCTGGATGAAGAGAAGAGGATTTCTTGAATTATAAAAACATCAGTCGCCAAAACCGGTTTGGCTCAGTGGATAGAGCGTCGGCCTGCGGACTGAAAGGTCCCAGGTTCGATTCCGGTCAAGGGCATGTACCTGGGTTGCGGGCATATCCCCAGTAGGAGATGTGCAGGAGGCAGCTGATCGATGTTTCTCTCTCATCGATGTTTCTAACTCTCTATCTCTCTCCCTTCCTCTCTGTAAAAAATCAATAAAATATATATATATATAAAAAATAAAAACATCAGTCCTTTTTGTACCATGATGATATTGTTGGTGTGGAGCTTGAGTGAAAATGAGGGTCTAACTCATTTGGGAAATAACATCTTGAAAGAGGTAACTATTATAATGTCAAATGAATTTTATCATACAGTATTTATTGGTTAATTGTAATTTTCTACTCACCCTTTACTTTCCCACAAGATAAATGTGTTGACAATCTTTCTGCTTGATATTAAACATCCTCAATGTGTTTGGTATTGGTTAGAGCATTCAAAATATCCCTAACACAAGAAGCCCACATTCTAAAGACTTGCTTTAAAAATGACCTTTCTTATAAATATATACCTATTTTATCTACTATATTTTTTATATTTTTAATTTTTTTACATGGTGGATAGGTGAATTTTTTAAGCGGATCATTTTAGACTTGATATGTTGACTGGTAAGACTGATCCATTTGGGTTTGAATCTGCCACTTATTTGAAAATGAAACTCAGCAAGTCCCATAATCTTACTGAGCCTCAGGCTCCTCACCTATAAAGTGATAAACCTATGATACTTAACTCCTAGGGCTGAACAGAGTAAATACGTGAAAGAGGTGGCATGCAGTAAAAGCTCAAAATTTTACCTCTTCCTTTTGGTAGATTAAAAAAAAATAAGACAAGCCCGGCTGGTGTGGCTCAGTGGTTGAACATCGACCTAAGAACCAGAAAGTCAGGGCTCAGTCCCCCGTGAAGGGGCATGCAAGGAGGCAGCCAATCAATGACTCTCTCTCTCTCTCATTATTGATGTTTCTATCTCTCTCCCTCTCCCTTGCTCTCTGAAATCAATAAAAATGTATTTAAAAGAAAAAAAATAAGACAAGAGATATGGTTTTTAAGGTATATTTTTGAGAAAGTAGGAAAGATACAAAATATAAAGGGGGTTAAGTACACCTAATCATATCAGCTAGAATGCTTCTGAAATATGGTAGTGATTATGTAATCAGAACAAACTTGAAGATTCCTGAAATCCAGTGTTAACAGCTTAGAGACCCGGGGGGGCAGGTCAAAAAGAAGGGTCACAATCACAGAAACAAAAGTTAAAAAAAAAAACACATTGATTTAGGTAAAACTATACAAAACAGCTACCTTTTTTAGATAAAAAATGGTTGAATATTGGCAATTTCATGTGGTCCACGTAATAGACGCTCAGGAGGCAAAAAAAAGTAGTCCTTTAGGGGTGGTGCAGTTAACCAGGGCTTTGGCTGTATGTATGTATGTATGTATGTATTTGACGAAATGTCAGATGGCAGAATTTATGATTTTAGTAACACAAATACAACATTTACACCTTCTGTCTAATCATTTCTTTGCTGCGCAGCCTGGCATTGGAATAGGTGACTCTGATGGCCAGCTGGGCTGCAATTTCCACAATGGCTTTGGGGTTGAGGAGACGTTGTGAGCAATCTCAGCACAGTAAGACTTGTTGCACATCAGCAGCACTTCAAGCACTTTGACATTATGAACCAGAAACTTCCGGAAGCCACTGGCAGCAAGTGCTTTGTTTTCTTGTTGCTCCCATAACCAATGTTGGGCATCAAGATCTGGCCCTTCAATCTTCTACGCACCCTATTGTCAATGCCTCTGGGTTTCCGCCAGTTCCGCTTAATTTTGACATATGGGTTTGACTGGTGCCGGATGAACTTCTTGGTCCTCTTTTTGAAAGTCTTGGGTTTCATGAGGGGTCTGAGGGCAGCCATGGTGCTGAGTAGGAGATGGCTGACACCTCTGTCGCTTTGGCTGTTTTTAATACAGAATGGCTAGTCTCTTGTAGATGTGAACCAAGCATTACTTAGTGGTCTCTTCTCTGTGTAGAGAAAAAGGAGGTTGAAAATGGGTGAAAGAGTTCATGCAGGTCTATAGAAGTCTTCAAGGCCCTTCGATATTCATTCGTTTCCAAAGGATTTAAGAAAATATACAAAAACACATACAGGATTTTAAAAAATTGTCTTTATTGTCGAAAGTATTACATATGTTCCCTTCCCCTCCCCCCACGCACCCCTCCTAGCCCACCCTGCCCCAGGCCCCAGACCTTCACCGTGGCCTACACCATGGCCTACATGGGTTATGCATATGGTTGATCTCTCCCCACCCACCCTCCCCTGCCTTTCCTCTGAGATTCCGCAGTCTTTTCTATGCTTCTATGTCTCTGGACCTATTAAAAAAATATTTTCATTGATTTCAGAGAGGAAGGGAGAGGGAGAGAGATAGAAACATCAATGATGAGAGAGAATCGATTTGTGGCCGGCAACCCGGGAATCCAATCGTGACCTCCAGGTTCAGAGGTCTACGCTCAATTACTGAGCCACACCGGCCAGGCTCTCTGGATCTATTTTGTTCATCAGTTCATTTTGTTCATTCGATTCCACACATGAGTGAGAGCATATGATACTTGTCTTTCTCTTACTGGTTTATTTCACTTAACATAATACTCTCCAAGTGAGGAAATTGAGGATGAGGGAAAAGAAAGTGACACCCAGATCTCCTACTGTGATTTAACAGTGGCCAGCACAGAGCTTCCTAAAATCATCTTTGGAAAGGAAAAAGTATAGTTTCCAGCACAGTACTTTTCTGCTAAGGAACTGCAATTCTGGATTCCTATGTAATGTAGCAGTAGGTATTATTGAGAGGGTAACCTCTGCTGAGAAAACAGGTAGCTTTTAATTAACATAAACTGTATTTCAAGGTTTGACTGAGTACTGGAATAGTTAAGAAAAGCTGTTTTGTTTTGTTTTTTTCAGAGACCATTTCCAACCTTCTTAATATTCCACGGCATTCACCCTTTTAAGTGTGATCTGAGAGGGTCCTCTGAATTTGATTGTGATGCTTTCGGCACATGTATCTTTTAAAACCATTGCATTAACAGCAGAATTGTTCTCTCTGGTAAGTTATTTTTTCTTTTCAGAAAGATTGGATGAAAAGTTTTTGCATTTTGTCAGAATGGTCTACGGACCAAAAAGTTTCAAAATGATTTCATTTATCAAGTGGTATCAATGAAGAAATAAATTGAATTTTTGTGGCCAAATACTTTACTCTCTGTAGGTGGCTGGACTAAGACTTTGTGAAAGGGGTATGGGGGTGGTATGCTTAGACCCATATGTCCCCATTCCTGGAAAAATAGCTGAAAAAAAAAAACCTCTTCTAGGGAGAGCTCTCTTCTATCCAACAACTCTATGGGCTGAGACAATGCTGTGACTTCCCTCCTCTCCGACTCTACTTGTCCTCCTCTTCAGCCCCCGTTTCTTTTTTTATTCCCTCCCCCCCAAATCAGCTTATTTCCTTTAAAACTGAAGTGTAAAATAGTACAGTGTTTATACTACTTAGCTTTTAAAGTGATTCTTGTACTTAAATATGAGACTAAAATGTGTTTTGGAAGAGATCAACCCCATTGGATTCATATCAAGTCTTGTTGTGCCTGCTTGTGATTTTTAGGTCACTTCCCTGGAAGTCTATCTTTTGTACAAGTTAAGCGCCAAGTTACCATACAACTTCTCTTATCCTATGAGAATAGGTCAGAAGTATCAGTGCTTTAGAGCTGGGACTCAAACTCGTAAACGGACTACGAATTCTTTTTAGTTGTCACACACAAATGTAGTTTCAGTGCTGGACTTACAACCCCATCCCTGGCACAATGTTGTCACACAAAATATAATAATCGCAGTAACTGGATTCTTGTGTGAGTCAGATTTCTAGAAAAAGGCTGTCGTGGACAGCATTTCCATCTCTTTAACTTAACCTTTCTTGGCGATTAGATCTAAAGGTAACAGGCAGAGATGGATGTCTCTTAGTTGGCAAAACACACACAAAAAACAGCATTTTCCTCCCCATGATGACAGCAAGGTATCAAGGATGCCAAAGAGAAAAGGAGTGTTAACTTAATCTAATAAGTGAGACGAGATCTTAAAGTATAACTAAAATGTTCCAGGGGAAAAAAAAATACTCGCTGAGATTCACTACTTAAAAAACGCTGGCAAGTGTTAATGGTTTTCTTTCTACGTTTGACTTGTTACCAAGACGATTAAGAAACAAGGGAATATGACTATGTGACTGGATTTTTTAAATAAAGTATTCTGCACCTCTGAATATATATATATATATATGTATTTACATATATATATTTACATATACACACATGCCACGTTTTAAATGAAATATACTTAAAAGTGGCTGTTTTGGTGCCACTGCAAGGAGGGCTCTGCTCTGCGAATTATTTCTTTGTTTTTAAGTGCCTGCCTCCAGGGTACACAAGTGGGAGATGAACTGGAAGGAAACCTGGGACTCAGGGGGATGGGGCCGAGATGGCTGGGACCGAATCTACGAGCTGAATGTCAGAGACAATCCTCCTCCAGCCTCGGAAGGGGTGTCTCCCCCAATACCAGCTCCCTCCCCCCGGGCTCGCGGGGCGGGTCTGCTTCGCTCAGTGCAGCGGCGGCCGCAGCAGCAGCCCCGGGGCTGAGCGGCGGCGGCCTCCCGGCTGTGCAGGGAAGCGGCGACTCCGAGCGCGCGAGGCCCAGGGGAGATCCGGCCGAGGCTGCCGCCGGGATGGAGGAAGCGTCGAGTGGAGCTGAGCCACCGGGGAACGATTTCCTCCCCAGCTCAGCTCCGCTCCAGCTTGGCCAGGCCTGTGGCGAGCGCCTGCGAGGCGGAAGAGGCCTGCGCCTCGGGCCTGGCAGCGGCAGCCGGCAAGCAAGTCGGGCACAGCGGGGTAATAGGCGAGCTGTAGCCGCTCTCGGGAACCTACGCCGCCTAGGCCGCTCATTGTCTCTCCCCTCCACCCGGGGGGCAAACAGGAAGCGCGCAGCCGGGCCGAGCGACGGACAGGCGTCCAGACCAATGAGCACCGCCGACAGTGAGCGTGGCGGCGAATGAACGCGGAGAAGAGGGGCGGGACTTCCGGGCGGGCTGTCACCCTCTTCCCCCCTTTTGGGCTGGAGGCTCCACCTTTTGTGTTTCCCGCACAGTCAATCAAAATAGGAAAAAAAATTCCCCGGACCGCTCCGGCCGTGTCCGCCGCCGCTTCCCGCATCCTCTCCCGCCGCCGCCGCCTTCGCTCCTCACCATGTGTAAGGCGGCGGGGAGCCCCGCCTGAGGTGCCCTAAACACACTATGACCGGTACGTAGAGCCGAGAGAGCAACCCTTGCTGCTGCCGCCGCCGCCGCTGCCGCCGACCACAGCCCGCTCCGGGCCGCCGCTGCCGGCTCCCGGCCCCGTGTGTGCGACCGAGTGTCTGTGAGAGGCAGAAAGCCGCAGTCCCCTCCCCGCCAGCCACGGTCCACCCCTCCAGCCCCAGCAGCGCCGTGTCCCCTCCGGGCCCCGGGCGGGCGGCCCGGTCCGCCGGGAGCGCATCCCCTTGCGTGCGGGCGCGGGCGGCGGGCGGGCGGGCGTGTGAGTGACTGACGGTGCGAGAGGAGCGAGCGCGAGTGCGAGCGAGCGGCGCGGAGGGAAAGGGGAGGAGAGGAGAGGAGAGGGGGCAGGGGCAGCGCGGGGAGGAGGAGGAGGGATAGAGGAGGAGGAGGAGGGTTACAGCGCGGCGGGCGGGGGCAGCCGCGGGAGGGGAGGAGGGAGCCGCCGCCGCCGCCGCCGCCGCGGGGCGGGTGGGGGAGGGGAAGGGGAGTCGGCCCGGGCTTTCGGAATAATTTCGACTCGGCCCGCGGGCCCCCTCCCTCTCCTCCACCCGCCTTCCTCCCCACCCCCCCGCGCTGTGCCTGCAGCTCCTGAAAAGCCCGTGAAACAAGAGGAAATGGCTGCCTTAGACGTGGACAGCGGCGGCGGCGGCAGCGGCGGCGGCCACGGCGAGTATCTGCAGCAGCAGCAGCAGCAGCAGCACGGAAACGGCGCGGTGGCGGCGGCGGCGGCGGCGGCCCAGGTGAGGCGCGGCTGAGCCCCGGTCGGCTCCCCCCTCGCGCCGCTTTCTCCTCCCCTCGCTCTCCCCTCCCTCCGCGCCTCTCTCCTCCCCTCCCCCCGCCCCGGGAGCTGCCGCCCGAGGCGCCAACGCTCCGACCCCGCCCGCTCTCCCCCGCCCGCCGCCTTTTTGTGTGTGTTTGTGTGTGTGAGTGTGTGCGCGCCCTCCCGGCGGTGGCTTCGGGCGGAAGGTGCAGGCCCGGCGCGCTGCCCGCCGCCCGCCTTCCCGCGGACGCTCGAGCGGCTGTGCGTGCGAGCGGGAGGACACGAGTCGGCGTGCGGGAGGAGGAGGAGGAGGGGAGCCGAGCGCGGGCTGGCGCTCGCCCGGGCGCAGCCTGCGAGGACCGAGTCGCACTTCCTGTGCGAGCGGCGGCCCGGCCCTAACCGCCACCCCTCCCCCTGTCTCCCTCTCTGAACCCGCCCATCGGGGGTAGGACACTCAGCCGTCACCGCTCGCTCTGCTGGCCGCTACCTGCAGCAAGATTGGGCCGCCATCGCCGGGCGACGACGAGGAGGAGGCGGCCGCCGCAGCCGGGGCCCCCGCCGCCGTTGCCGGAGCGGTAAGTCTCGCGCGCGCGCGGCCCGCCCCCGCCGAGGCCCAGCGCCCGCCATCCCGGGCCTGCGGCGCTCCCGCCGCCCCGAGGCCTCCCGGGCGCCCGCGCCGTCCCCGAGGCGATGCGGACCGATGGCGCGGCCGGGGCGCCCCTTCCTGCTCCTCCACAGACTTGTGTGGGCCTGAAGCCAGCCCCGGCTTTCCTTAAATTGTCACTGCGGAACCCCGATTCAGATTCACGACAAAATGAAGTCTGCGAGGGCGGGGGTGGAAGGCTCCAAAATGGATGTTTGAGTAATTCATATCACTGCTGGAAACTCCTTCCCAGCACCTCGGCGTTTTCAAGCACAGCCTATCGGCCATGGATAGTATCAGCCAGAGCCACAGTGTCTCCAGTTCTGAGTACGTTGAACCTGGAGCTTTGTCGGTTGGAAGTTACGAGATCTTACTGATTTAAACCGTAAATCGTTAAAAAAAAAGGGAAGGAAGGAAGGTTTAACTTTTTGAATTATGTTTTTGTATGCAGGAATGGATACTTTGAAGTGCTTTTTTCAGTGACCATTCTAAATTGTCGGATTTTAGTTTTTGCAGGCTCTTATTTGGCAGTAATTTTTCGTAAGTGGAATAAGTGAAACATTTAATTAGCGGCTGGTGAAGTCGCTGAAGTTACTTAGATAATACTTTGGCTTTTGAAATTGAGAACCTGAATACCAGTGTTAGAAACAGAAGTACATGTAAGAAGTTGTACTTGCATGCATGCTAATGCACACCACACTTAAACAGTTGTATTTGGCTCGTGAGGCCGTCTTATTGTCATTGCTGGTCTGATGGGACGGGGTAGATGCTTTTTTGTGGTGTGTTGTGTCTGGAGCAGGGGGAGGAGCTGACCTGTTATCTGAGGGTTTAATTCTTATGATCTAGGAAAACAGCTTTTAGCACTGTTGCTTGTGACTTATATTTGCTGGAATCATTGCTGTTGCATTAGTGTAACACGTAGATGTATTTACTTAATAAAATAATTGAAATATTTCCCTTTGAGGTGGATTATAGGACTTGATTTGTGTGTAGTGATATTTGGAAGTAGTCACAGTAGACAAAAAAGTTTGGTATTTGATATAGTCTGCTGGAAATTCTTAATATTTCTAGGTAGTAAAAGTGAAGCTAAAGTTAAGCTATGTTAAAGGTTGTATTTGTAATTTTAGTACTTCAAGTTATATTGTAGAGAGAGATGAATGGTTTTAGTGTCTTAAAAGTATGATTTTTAAGTTTTGTGCTTTTGTAAGCAGATTAAAATGTAAAGGCATAAAATTATGTTTGTGTGAGCCATTGTTACTTTTAAACAACTTATGGATTGATAAACCTTTTTAAAGAACTACATCCCTCTAGCTCTACAATGACAAGACAAATTGGAACCACTGCATAAGTAAAATTGCAAGCCAGATTGCTTCTCCTTACCTTTTTAATATTTTCAATTAGAACAAAAAACTTTTTGTAGCTGTAACTTACCAAGTTTAGGTATCAGCTCACCAGTGGGGGAGGGGAGAAATAAAGGAGGAAGTGAAGGTGAAAATATGTATATGTGAATCTTACATGAATCTCAGTCCCAGGAATGGAATATTATCTCCAACTTTAGCCTACTCTGGCCATATATCACTTGTAGAAAAGTTGTTTCCATGCCTCTTCAACTCATACTCTGAACTACTAAATCTCTACGGATATTTCCCTATAGATGAATATGAACTAGAATCAGTTGCAGCATTTTTTTTCTTTGTACGTTTGGTACCTGTGCAGAAAATTTTTCACTGAGTAAAATTGGTAAGACTGGCTTGAATATGTTTGCCTTAGGAAATGGGAAAATTATTTTTCTTGTTCAAATGAATTTCATACATGTACATCTTGGAAAATGAGAATTTAAGTGATTTTATGGGCAATTTTTTTCCACCTAAAAATGTGCTTAGATCATCTGCTTTAATTACTCAAACTACTGGGAATCTTGAGATGTCTATAGAGAGCTTTATTTTGTAGCTGTGTTTCTTTAAAATTCTTGTTTTGGAAGAATTTTAAATTTACAGAAAAGTTGCAAAGATAGAACTTGAGGGTTTACCGTATTCCCTTCACCCAGCTTCCCCTAATGTTAATATAGCCATGGTATGTTTGCCAAAACTAGGACATTAACAATGATACAGTATTATTAACGACAAATTTTATTCTGATTTTACCAGTTTTTTCAGTAATGCCCATTTTCTGTTCCAGGATCCAGTCCAGGGCACCACATTGCATATAGTATTGTTATATTTAAAATCAAATGAAATACATGCATTTCAATTTTATGCCAGTTTAATTTGGTATTTTAGGATTAAAAGGTTATTAGAAAGCCAGTCACCTGAACTAGAGATTTGCTTTAACTATTTCAAATTTAGAATTTGTTTTAATATGATATGGGTTCCTCCTGGATCCTGGCCAAGAATGGATACCTTCAGTACTGTACTGAATAGATCTAATCACAAAGCAATCTCACCTGTATTGCCCTACACCAGGGACTCCCAAGTTGGTTTGATGGCAAGGCTCTTTTCTACTTTATTATTAAAAGTTGTGTAGTTAATTAAAAAAAAATCTTTATTGTTGAAAGTATTACATAGGTCCTCCTTTTTTGTGTAGTTAATTTTTGAAATAAATCAGGGAACGGAGTAAAGTAGACCTTTGTGAAATATTAACTTACCTGTTTTGCGTTTGTGTGTACTTACGGATTATTAATTTATTTCAAATTCTTGTTTTGTACTGTAGTGTAATAAGCTGAACAAGTACATACTGTAAAAGTTGTTGCCTGATCTTCACTTTAGGTTGTAAATTTAGTGTTCATTAATTTAGTATATACATGTTGGTGAGCTAAAAAATGAACAATAGCTTATTTTTTAAAAAGGTTATTTTTACCATTACTTGAAAAGATCTACATTGTCATTGTAATGAATTCATTGGGTATTTGTTTTTATTTGAAGTCTGTTTGAGTTCTTTAGTGTTCCTTGAAGATTTCAAGAAACTTGAGTATGTACTTACCTAAGACTGGTTTTTCGTTTGTTTCTACCTTAGCTTCATACTTTCTTGTTTCTGGTTACACTCTTTGCTTGCCAGTTTGGCTTTCATATAAAGCCATTTGTGGGAACTGAGAAGTTAATAATCCTTTTCAAATGGTATGCAGTAAGTGGTATGAATTTTTTCTTTTTCCCTATCTACAGGTATTTGAGAAGATAAACCTTTTTTTCTTTTCTCTCACCCCCAAGTCCCCACCTCCATCCCATTTTTATGCTTGGTTGTACTGAAGAATGCCCTTGTAATGAACTGCTGTAGTAGCGTTTCAGGGCTACTCTGGGTTGTGGTCCTTTCACTGTGTAATTATGTGTTTATATGCAGAAGGAACCTTAGAGTACCTTCAGTTACAATTTTTTACAGTAATGCCAACTTCCACCTAAATATGGGAAGTATTTAGATAGCATTTTGTTTGTTGTCAAGTGAGAATGTTAAAGTTACTGAGAGAAACACTGGTGGATTTTTCTTTTAGTGTGAAGTTTATGTAAAGGGTTGTCTTGATCCTAAACCAAATACTAGTTCTTGCCTGGGTTATGTGATTTTATGCTCTCTCTTCCTTTGTTTTATATAGT